CAACTTACAACTTTAGATATAAGATACTTGATGTCACTGAAAGTGGCAGTGTCTTGACCTCCTCCTCAGCTTACAACTTTAGATACAAGATGCTTAATGTAACTGAAAGTGGCAGTGTACTGACCTCCCTCTCAACTTACAACTTTAGATATAAGATACTTGATGTAACTGAAAGTGGCAGTGTTCTGACCTCCCTCTCAATATACAACTTTATATATAAGATGCTGGAAACGAATGTTTTAAAGTAAGCATGCTAAAGGGTATTAGTACTAGCAACATAATGACCAAGATTAGTTGTAGTTAATATCCTCATGCCAGTTACAACACCCAGTCAGTAATGTTTTAAAGTAAGCATGCTAAAGGGTATTAGTACTAGCAACATAATGACCAAGATTAGTTGTAGTTAATATCTTCATGCCAGTTACAACACCCAGTCAGTAATGTTTTAAAGTAAGCATGCTAAAGGGTATTAGTACCAGCAACATAATGACCAAGATTAGTTGTAGTTAATATCCTCATGCCAGTTACAACATCCAGTCAGTAATGTTTTAAAGTAAGCATGCTAAAGGGTATTAGTACTAGCAACATAATGACCAAGATTAGTTGTTGTTAATATCTTCATGCCAGTTACAACACCCAGTCAGTAATGTTTTAAAGTAAGCATGCTAAAGGGTATTAGTACTAGCAACATAATGACCAAGATTAGTTGTTGTTAATATCCTCATGCCAGTTACGACACCCAGTCAGTAATGGGCATATTCCAGTTTCAAACATGCATTACTTTCATGCCAGGAAGTCTAACCTTTGGAAATAGTATACATTCTACACGTTGAAGTTCCTGAATCACCATAATTAATCTTTTATTGTTCACATGTATTAATAACTTGGAAGAATTACATTAATTATTCTTGTAAAAATATTTAGTAAGTATGGGCCTCACTGTCGCCTAATAAGTACCGTGATTTCTTGGATAATTTAGTATTTTCTTGCACACTGTTGGATCCAGTAAAAATGTTTATACAAAATCTTTCAATAAATCCAGTGCTGGTACTATATTATTATATGCATTCAACTTGTGGTATTGTGTAAAGAAAATTTCAGTTAATAGTTTTTGTCTGAATTGTTATATTTATTACCGTGCCATTTTAGTTATCTTCTTACTCCAATGTCTAAAGGATTTTTCACTTACAAATGCTTGTGAGGAGATCTGGGGATAAGTTCAATAGAATTGATTACCTTTGAATATTGATTAATGTCACATGAAATAATAGATTAATCAAAATCATGATTAATGTCAAGAAAAATAATCAACTGATCAAAATGAGTTTTTCTGATTATTCCAGTTATCCAAGTAATAAAAATTATATCTGATTATTGTTTTCAATTAATTTAAGTTGTTCTGCTTAATTGGTTAGTGTCACGACTCACAAAAATAATTGAAATTAGTGTTTCCAATTACTCCAAATATCCTAGGCTCTCGATAATAATAGATTAATAAACTAGGTGATTAATCAATTAGGAACTTCCACAAACTGCCCAGCTCTATTTTTGAACATTATATCTTATCTAGTTAGTATATATATACTCTTAATCATTGTACAGCTCCAAGTTATTTTTACTTTTATTTTCTGTCAGATATTAATAACTAAGTATATCTGTGTACATAAACCTAGTAGGTCTCATGCCATTTGCACTAATTTTGACTTATGATGCCCCTGGTGGTCAGAATTATTATTTTTGTCAATAAATTTTAAAAGATGTAAGCTCATTTAATATCTTAAATTTATGGCATATATGATTACCAAAACAATAATCTTATTCTTTAGTCTCATGTCATAGTTGGTGTTAAAAAGACATGATATAAATGTATCATGATATAACAACATAGACATGATATAACATTTATACAATGTTATACATTTATGTATATTTATATGGGGAATTTTGTAGCCACAGCTCATAGAATGGCTCTGAATTTTTTTTCCATGCACAAACTTTTAGCTCATAGCTCTGTCATCTCTTGACTAATTTGACATCGAATTACAGTCTTGGACTCGGGAGGTCAAACCCTTTCGATTGATATATTTGACCACATCAAAGGTCTAATAGATTAATTTACTCTAATCCTGCCTAAAAGAATTTCAATTTGAGGGTAGGTTGGTAGGGATCCTGACGAGTAATAAAACTTAATCCTGTATACACGCACCCCATGCTTGGTATTGCTGGTGAACAAAAATATAGCTAATATAAAGGAAAAGTAGGTCTCGTAGATTAATTTACTCTAATCATCTAAAAGAAATACAAGTGCTGTGGCTGTTGAGGATTCCCTCTTCTTGATGAAAAACTAAATTTATAGTTAAAACTGTGTAGGCGACAAACATATCGCAATAAAAGGTTGAACAATCACTAAGTTGTTGTTATACTTTTATTTAAAGAAGGATGATGTTTCAAGCTAGTACTCAACGTTAGATTGCATAGCTTACAACAAAAATATAACAAAACTCAGTAATTGTTTAACCTATTCTTTTAAAGAGAAAGGGTAATTTTATTTAAAATGCATGGTTCACATCACCAAAAATAAACCCTTTTACTATGTTACATTAATTTAAAATACATTATCTCACATACTAAGTATTGGTTCGTAAGTGGTATTTCCGTTTATTGTGGGTCATTGCCCGCCACATTTTTAAACAGCTAGAGCTGATTATGTTATCTAGGTTACAAGTTTCTTTTTAGAGTTTATGATTTTTCCAGTTTCTTCATGATAAACTATGCAGTTTGATTATCTTGTGCATGTCTCTTGTCAGTGGTATTTCAGTTACAACATCACTGGACTGAAGTGCTATGGTATGTAGCAAAAGTTTTGTTACCATTGACTTACAACAGAGTGTAGTTGAAATAATGTCCGTACTGAATTGTATACAGGGATAGGTAAAGTTTCTAGTGTTTCACATTTCTTTTGTGATGCATCATAACAGTTTATATCTTAGTAAAGTAAAACTCATAAGCTTTACACCATTACACGACAGAGCGAAGGTAATGTAAGTGTATTAGATCGACGTGTAAATTAATCCCAAGTTCGGAATGCTTGTAGCCATGGACTTCAATTTACATATGAATTGTTATTTCTCACTTATACTTTTATATCTTTATATATATATGTTCCAGATTTTTATGGTATCTCCAGGCCAAGATCAGTTCAGCATTCTTCTTGATAAACGTATGAATACTGATTTTTTTTTCCCCACCTTTTCCTATGTTAGAAAAGAAGAAGAAAAAGGACAAAAAGAAGAAGAAAGAAAGCAAAAAGCTAAGTGGTAGAGACAGTAGTTCATCAAATGTTTCAACTAAAGATATTAAACCAACAAATAAGGAGAAAGAAGATAAAAATGATTTGGGACACAAGTATCTCAACAAAGATACAAGTTCTAGCTATCATAATTCTCCTCAAAAGCAGAAATACGAAAATCAGTCGGAAACATTGGGTCGAAATTCGAACATTCCAGTACATAGCAAATTATCTGGGGAAAGAAGTCGGGAAACTGACCTTAATCATAGTTCCAGGCACAGAAGCAGAAGTCCACTATCAGGCACGCAAAACTCGTCAAGAGGTTCATCATATAATAAAAATTTTAGAAAAGAAAGCCCATCAGATGAACGAAAACATCATGCAAAATATTATCCAAAGAATGGTCAGGAAAAAGTTGAAGAGAAAAGACGTCTACTCAAACACAGATCTTGGAGTAAAGAAGGTAATAAACCACAGGATGAGGGAAAGATGGAAACTAAAAATAATGACAGAAGATCAAGTAGAGTAGGCAGAGATAGAAAGGAGTATGATCTTGGAAAAAGGCAGAGAGAAAATGACTTTTACGAACAAGAAAGATCAATTAACCAAGATTATAAAGGATCAAAAAGATTTCAGGATCACAGGTCTCGACTGTCACCATTACAGGGCAGGTTTGATGAACTTCACCATGGGAGGAGAGACTATGAAATTAATTTAGGTTTTATGAATAGCGACAACAGGAGATACACAGAGCAACAGTTCAACCACGACAATGGAAATAGCAGGTATTCAGAGCGTATGCACGACACAGAAGATTTTACAGACAGAAGAAGAAGAGATTGGGAAATAGGTACAAGTTACACAGAAAGAGAAAAAGAGCTTGAATGGCTTAGAAAACGGGAATTCGAAATACAGAGAGAAAGAGCTAGAGAAGTCTACAACTTTAGAGAAGAATGTAGTAGGGATTTTGAATGGGATGATGATTTTAACCATGTTCCAAGAAATAAGTCCAAACATCGAACATCCTACAGACCCAAGGACAGAAGTAGGAGTTGGAATAACAAGAATAGTGTCAGGCAGCCAAGAATATCGCAGAGATAAAAGTGCACACGAGTCATAAAGGCTTTTTAGTTTGTACATTATAACGTCATAAGTTGATATTTTTTTGTATCATTCATTTTTCACCATAATTCACTGGCAATGTTAAATTTTCGAAATTTAGTTTGTAATATATAAGATGTTGTAAATTAAAAAAACATGAAAAAGATGTATGTTTCCGAGTTCACTCCAGTGATTTCTTCATTAAAAAAGTTTCATTGTATTATCTTAAAACTTTCTGTAAGTCAGTTCTCCATAATACAATTTTTTTTTTTTTTTAATAAAGTACTTTGGTTTGGTGCATTAAATAAAATTATGTACTTGGAATTTTAAGACTAGGTGATACACTCATATATTCTAATTGTAAGTTGTTAAGATATTAAAAAAAGGCAGCCCCAATAAAATAAGAACTCCCAATTTTGGCACCCTTGGGGTGGGTGCTTTGTGTGGAGGCATATGTTAGCTACCTTAAGGGTCAGTCCTTTATATATATATAAATACATTGCTGACAAACTTTGATCTTAAAGTAGCCTATATGTGCACCTAGGTCTAATTATTAATCGGTAGTACATATTTTAAATTTCAAATTTTTTTATATAATTAAATACTAATTAGTTTTCCTTATTTAACATTTTGGGTGTTAACCTGCTACCATCTTCATGGTAGGACTATTTTCTGTATTGGTAGTGTCTGTGATTTGATCGCAGGTCTTCTTAACAGAAAGTCTGGTGCATTATGTGTTTGACTGAGGTTTACCCCACAAGAACTTGAACCAACTGACTGTTTTAAAGAAGGGTTTTTTTTTAACTTCTTGCTAGTTTGACTGTGTTATCAGTTATGTGGATGAAGAAATCTTCTTTTATGTTTCTTTTTTTGTGTGTGTGGTTCATAAGCTGTCATTTCAGTGATATTCCATTTTATTGTATGGTCTTCTTTGGTGTGATGGGTTATTGCAAACAGATAAGTGTTACCGAGTCTTTTATATCTATTACTAGATGTACTATCACAGGGTCCCTGAAAGTGTTCTGTTTCAAGAGTAAATAAAACCAGAATTAAGAGTAACAAATATTTTTATTTCTTTATTTTCAAGTTCATATGTCATGCTGTGTCGTAGTCTACAGAATGCATAATTCTTCTCATGATTCATGGCATACACACGTTTAACTGATGTCACAACAGTAAAAATTTAAACATTAAGTGTCCCTGATGTGATATCATTTTAGTGTCTACTAACTGACTGACAGACAACACATTACTGTATAGTGATGCGAGCGGTTAAAAGCAGGTGACCCCTCCAGCTGGCCTTCAGGGAAATTTTAACTTCTGCAGGTTTTGTTTTTACAGAAGATATTGTAAGTGGTGTTCTTCCTCTCTGTTGGGTCTTGTTTTATGTGACTATCTATGATAATATTGTGTTGGGGCTTCTGAATAATTGAGTTGAAAACTGACACACATTTCACTATTTAATTCCTGTTTGTACTGAATGTAACACTTAATGTACTGCACTAAACTGAGTGGGTGTTTACAAAAATACTTTGAATATTCTTCATACAAGACGGGTAGCTAATACGTTCTGCAAAGCCTGTTACACATTTAATAAAAACCAAACCCAATAAATTTTCTAGCATCTATCATAAATATGTATAATTACAAGATATAAAACAATGAAATGTATTTATCGTACCACGTTTACAGTTAAATCAGAACTTAGAATATAATAAATAAAAATATTGCAGAAAGTAAACTTAAAGCAAGTGTTAATGGTGTAGTATTTTACAAAGTTCAACAGGGTTAGCAGCAAACACATTATAACCTAGTTTAAAACTTAACAGCAATTATTTATACCAACACGTTACATAGTAAAAGAAATATGAAGTTAATTTTAGAATTCTGTATGCAACAATTCGCAACTTCATTCTTCTTCCACCGATGATCAAATTTTGAATTAAGAACTTGTAACATGAAAATTAAAGTTTTGTTTATGGATAAAACAATATTTTGAAAGGTTTACCGGACTTCGTCAGATGGATACAATTGAAATAAAGTAATTTTGAATTTATGAGTTTGTAAATTTTGTAAGACATTAAGTATATGAATGAATATTTAGCTAATAATTGCATTTATGTAATATCCCTCAAAAATGATTTTAAATTTGGTCTGAATCTACATTAAATTGTGATCATCAGCTTTTGAAAATAAATCTTGATTAATCTTCACATCTCAAAATACTGTAAAAATCCAAGCCATGATTCAAATCTGCTGTTCTACAACAAATATACCAACACATCTATAATCTATTTAATATAAAATAATACATCTTAACATATTCACAACAGAAACCATCATTTATTTAGCTTGTAAACATAGCAAGTTGCTTTAACATGTATTTAAAATCTTATAATTGGCTGATCTACGTTGGTAATCTGTTGTTTTTTGGAACAAATGAAGTATAAAGGAAAATAATAATAATTTAAGGTGTATATTTAAAGATTAAATATAAATAAAAACAAACTTAGTCTCAGATGTGTTTGAAAACAGAATGTAAATAAAAGAAAATAAAAATAAATGACTAGGAAATAGAAGAAACTCGTTAAAAAATAATTTCAACAAAAATATATATATATACATTGTGTTCAAATAGAGCCATAGTACAAAAAATCCAGCTGTATTTTTAAATGCATTCTGGCATCTCAGTCATGTGGCTGTAAATAATAGTAAACAAAGTTCTTTTTTTTTTTTATTTTACTTAACTATTATGTTAAAGTACAGTAACTATTAGGTATAAACAAAATAAATTTAATTTTAATTTTACGTT